TTTGACGTATGAGCTATGAAGAAAAAGGAACTGATTTCATATTAAGTGAAAATATTTATCAAGTGAAATATAAGACCCAACTATTTTCTTGACTCTGACTTACGTAAAAAACACTAGTTGCTAATGGTTAATCAAAACATCTCATATTCTTTTTTTTTTTTTACATCTCATATTCTTAAAGATACAAATAACACCTAATTAACTTAGCTTTAGTCACCACCATTTGATTTTTAATGCAGCACTTAGCATGAGTGCTCACAATTACAAAAAAATTCCTTGGTTAATTCCTACCTCTCTATAAAATACTGTTTAATTGCAATAGCAAGATTTTTAGTTAATTACTTCAAATTTGGTGCGCTAAAAAATATTGCTCTTCCACATTAAGTTTTTAAGTAATACATATTATCCTTCTAATGTTAAAAAAAAATAAGGCTCTTTCCCAACATCTGTAGATTACAAAAGACAGTAAAAGAGACAGTATGCCACTCCAATTTTAAACTCAGCCTAAGAGCTAACATTTATACAGCAACATCTGAAATAGTATCCTTGCTATTTTGCCAGGCAACACAAAAGAGTAATTTTACCATAAAGTAAAAATAATTCCATAGTCCACATTAAAAATTCTTCCTTAGGGCAGCCCGGGTGGCTCAGCGGTTTAGCGCCGCCTTCAGCCCAGGGCCTGATCCTGGAGACCCTGGATGAGTCCCATGTCAGGCTCCCTGCCTGGAGCCTGCTTCTCCCTCTGCCTGTGTCTCTGCCTCTCTCTCTCCTCTCTCTCTCTCTCTCTCTCTCCTCTGTGTATTCTCATGAATAAATAAACAAAATCTTTAAAAAAAAAATTTCTCCCTGAATACAAGTATTAAACATTTATTCTAACGTATGACAAGGAACAGTCCCTAATCACCCTGAATATTTGAGATATGTTTGCTTAAATGAAAGCTTTAAATTCAAATAATTGAGCTCCTACTCTCTTCTGTGAATAAATCTTTTGGAGATGAAAGCTAATTACACACTATGAAAATATTTTTTTAAAAAATAAATACAGTATCTTTAACAAAAATTCCATACTAATATTTCTTTAGCAGGTTTTGATAGCTCTTCAAAGTCCTTTTGGTTTTCTCCACTTTAAACATTCAATGATAGCACACATTTAAGCCCCAGTATTAACTTCCAGAAAAGCATAACTGTTGGGATTTACGTAACACGCTTTTAAAAATAAAACCATAGATGTAAGGGTTTGATGCATGAAAATGGGTACATTATTCTTAGACATAAGAAACCAATTTAAGAAGTTAGACTTTCACTAAGACCACTAAGGTATGTCCCGACTTTTTAAACGGTTTTCCTCACTTCCTTATTTTATATCCAAGAAGTCCTAGAGCTTACTGTGGTATACATGGTAAAAATTCTCTGACTCAAAGCTGTAAGACAGACAAGCCAAAATTGTGAAAGAGTTTTTAGAGATCTAAAGAGTTGAAGGGAAATGGAGGAGCTCTGCAAAGGTTCTAAACTTAAATTGAGATCAAAGGGATCCTATAACGTACACTGACAACAAAAGGGAAGTATGATCAAAATATAGTCTCTAAAAATAAAATCTGCTCTCCAATTACATTATGATTTCCTACAAATCCACTTAAACAGATAAACACCTAATCTCTCAAAACTCAGCTACTCTAAGAACAAAGGCCATTTGACTAGTTTCCCCCCAAGAGACCTACTGCTTCAAAACTCAGAGAATAAAAAATCATGCCTAAGTTTTTAATAAATTTTCCTCTACAATTCTAAACACAGATAGTCAATGGAGTATACATTAACAAAAACCAAACACTGGCAGTAGTTGTTATTTATAAGTAACCATTTAAAATAAAATACAATTGGGATCCCTGGGTGGTGCAGCGGTTTGGCGCCTGCCTTTGGCCCGGGGCGCGATCCTGGAGACCCGAGATCGAGTCCCACGTCGGGCTCCCTGCATGGAGCCTGCTTCTCCCTCTGCCTGTGTCTCTGCCCCTCTCTGTGTGTCTATCATGAATAAATAAATCTTAAAAAAATAAAATAAAATAAAATAAAATAAAATAAAACAAAATAAAATACAATATACTTAAAACAAGCAAACAAAATCCAACAAAGCAAGGAAGCAGGCCAATATGAAGAAAACTACTAGTATGAAGGCAGCTTTTCTTATAATTTCTAACTTGGTTTTGTTTATTTGAAGCCAAATAAATTCAAATGCTTTGTGTGTCTAGACCTGCCCAAGGTCACTATCAAGGAAAAAAATAATGGGTGTAGACAGTGTTCCCTCCCATGGCTGCATAAACCAAATTTTCCTAAGAATATACTGATTTCCTACATTAGATACTCAGTTAACTAAGTACCAACCTTCCGAACCACAGATCTTAACCACATAGTCTATAAAACAAACGCACAATCTTTATACAGCAGTTATGGATCTAGACTTATATGATCACTCAGAGCACACTACAAATGAGTATTGACCAGAAATCCCTACACAAACGCCTACTACCCACAAACATTTCATTTTATAATAAAATATTTCAAAGATTCTAAGGTTGTATGCTCAGTCTTCCATGATGAAACTCTCTAGTTATTCCTACAATTATTTTGTGTAACAGAAACTTAACTAGCTCATATATGATCTTCATGATTCTCTTATTCCATTGTAAATATTAGAGCAGATTTTACAGTGGAATAAAAGAATCATGAAAGGGTGTATACTCTTGAACCTTTTTAAACAACTCCTGGCTTGAAAGGCACTCATCTTTCAGTCATTCCACATCAGAATGATCATTAAACGTCATTAATGGCCCACTGCTCAGTTCAGGCCAAAAAGATCAACATCCCACTAGAGAGATGAATTCTAATCATTCCCACTTTTTAAAATATTGTTAAATGACACCATTTAATTTTCTGCCTCAATCTATTAGATTCTGAGATTAGCATAAAATAGCTTCAAGACAGTGTACTATGGTATGGTGTTTAAAGTTATTAAAACAGCTAAGTTCCACATCCCAAAATAGGTAAATGGGCATGGGGTGGGGGGGTACTCAAGAACTAAAGCCTTACTTTTCTACTTACATAATTATGACAGCATGGTATAAAACAATTTTTAAAAGGCAGCAAAGTGTGGAGCTGCACTTCATGAAATATACAAACTTAGAAAATTCTTAAGGAATGCTCAAATACATGAGAAAAATGGATGCAAAATATAATAGTGAAAAGAACAAGCATCTCCACACCCAGTGAAGTAACAGGTTTAGGCTTGTTTGTACAGCTCCCTAAAAATTAATCTGAAAGAGTACAAACACCAGAACTCACAAAATTGGTCAAGAGGTAGACGGGAAACATTTCACTCTAAACTAAAACATCTAGTCACACAAAATGCTACACTTATATACTTACTAAACCTTTTTAACTTACTTTAGCACAGTGAATAAAAAGCACCTGGGACTAAACCAAGTAAAAACTATTTCTTACCCTTAATATTTTCTTTTATGTTTAAGAGCACCTACCCTCACCACTGAAATTTCTAAAACTACCTGAGTGTTTTTATTTTTATTTTTTTTTTGAAAGTAGTGTCATTTTCTTTGCCTCTCAGGGGAAAAAAAAAATCAACAAAATTAATCAACACAAGCATTGTAATTTGCAGTAAAATCAACACATTTTTGTAAACTATTTGGGGAAGAAAAACAGCACAGTCTTTTCATGTAAACATAATAAGCCTGTAATATGCTGCAGACAAACGCACTGCATGGGGTGTGGAGGACCCGAGCTGATTAGATTACCACAACATCAGCCTGGGGCCGCCATTTTTAGAATCTGTAAAGGACAAAAGAGGGAAATTTCACTTTTTACTTCCCATCTCGGAAAATAAAGGAAAAAAACGGGGCTATTTCCCAATCAGGTATTGATGTCTCCAGCCTAGAGTTGAATGCACCTCACTTAATTCTCTCCAAGGTCTCCAGAACTCCAACACCTTACGTTATTCACATCTCTAAAGGAGGGGAAATAGGAGGAAGGAAAAAAAAAAAAAATCCCGGGGTTTACTCCAAAGCGAACTCTAGCGATTTCTCTTTGACTTTAAATTGTATCATTCTTAAGACAGACTCTAGCCAGAACGGATCCGCACGGAACTGAGGCCAGGGGAAGAGAGCACTCCGGATTGTTTTTTCTCTCTCCCCCCCTCCCCCGTTTAGCACAGTGAACCGTTTGTTTCTCTCCTGTATCTGCTGCCACAGTGTTTGTGCCAATCCCTTGGTCAAAATAAGCTTTTCTGAAATGTGCCATATTGTGGATTCTAAGCCTCCGGTACGGTAAAGGACGGCGATAATGCCAGAGGAGTGGGGGAGGAGACTGGGAAGGCTGGGTACTGGGGTGACCACCTCAGGGGCGGGTTTACCCTCTCCCGGGGAGGATGAGGAGCTGTCTCGTGCTGCCACAAAGGAGATAGAGACCCAGGGCGTCCTTTTAACCCCCTTCGTAGTTACCAGAACGTTACACCGGAGACTGCCGGTCCATTAAGGGAAGAAGAAGAAAATGGGGCCTGCACGGCTTTCCAGCACCTGAACGAGATGCGGTCGAGCAAAGGGAGGAGGGCTGGCAGCTCCTGGGACCGCTCCGACACAAACCCCGCTAACAGTCACAAGCCTCCCTCCTCACCCGGGCGGCCCTAACCCGCTGCCAATGAGCAGTGCGCCCCCTCCCTAACTCCCACTCTCAAGGGGGTTTAACTGCCAGTTTCCCCTTTCCCCAACCCCAAAACCCGCCATAATGCTCCCTTTCCAGGGACAGGGGAGAGAAAAGGACAAATGCGATCCAAACAAGCGACGTCTTGCCCCAACCCAGACACCTGAGAGTCAACGTCGACTCCCCCACCCCCGACCCCCAAAAAGGATGAAAATGGGGAAGCCCCCTCCCCTCTGCACCACGCGTCCCTCCACCCCGAGAACCCCGAGAACTCCCCCAAGGAGGCGACAGGCACTGACCTGTGATGTTCACACACCAGACACCCGAACCCCGTTATCTGCTCGACCCTCAAGCAGTCTCTCCACACCTCCGCGAGCAGACGACCCCCCGACAGCAGCCACTGCGGACACAGGACCCGGCTCCACACACCCCCTCCCCAAACAGCAGCGCGCAGCCTCTTCACCAGCAACCCAGGAGTCGGGGAGGGGGCCCCCAGACAGTCAGCAGGAGCGCAGAGGCGACGGCAAGGCTGCTCAGAGTGTCTGTACCCTCTCTGTCGCCGCTCCCGAACTCAGGCACGGTCTCCGACTCGGCCCCCTGCGCCCGCTCAGTGTCACTGCCTCTCGCTCTGGGAAAATGGCGGCGACGGCGGCGGCGGCCGCGGCGGCGGCGGCGGCGGCGGCCGCGGCGGCGGCGGCGGCAAGTGCACGGGGCCCGCCCGCCCCGCTCCGCAGGGGCAGAGGGGGAGGGGACGAAGCTGCCCGCCGCCATCTTGCTTGTGGGCTGCCGCCCGCCGTGGCCTCTTCCACAGAGGCTCGAAGATGGCCAACTGGAGGCGGAGAGCGGGCAGAAGCTCCGTCTTTTTCACAACAGATGCATTCAACAAGTCACCGAAGGTTTGGGGAAGTTGCGGTGTTTGGTGGGGTTGGTTCTTGACCCCCTTTCCCTGAGCGGCCCTCCAGCCTAGGTGTCGGCGAGCTCGGGCACGCCACCCCTGGGCGGAAGCATAAGGAAGGACTGGGGGCCCCGGGAACGAGCCCCCCCCCCGCCATCCCCCTCCTAAAGCGATGCACCCTCTCCCACTCCCCAAGCCACCTCAGCCTCAGCCCCCCTCCCCCTCCCCAGTCTGGCCTCCAGCGCTGGGTGAACTCGGTTGGGTGTCACTCGACGCCCACTAGGGGCTGAGGAGGCTCCAGTGCGCAGACTCCGGGCACCGGATAAAAGCGGAGCTGGAGCGTCCAGCGCCGTCTCGATGGAGGAGCGAGAAACGGAAGAGGTCGGGGGGAGAAGCAGCAGGAAAAGTACAGCCACCGTCAGCGCCGCTTTCCTGCCACCGTGTATCGGGGTAAAAAGCTGCCGTTGCCGTCCGTGCAGTTGCCGTCGCCGCCTCCTACTTCTTTTGGCCCCGGGGAAGGACTTCCCCGCCGGCGGGACATGTGCGGGGTGGGGAGCGGGAGTTCCTTTATGTGGCGGGGATTAAACGAGGGAGGGACAGAGAGAAGGTGATCTCGAAGAAGAAAGGGGGAAGGCCAAAGAATAAAACAAGGGTTTCCCCCCCACTAAAATGACACGGTGATTCCGGTTCTTGTTTTCGGGGTCTTTTCACCCGAAATGGCGGTTTCCGTCTTCTCGCTCCGCAGGGACCCGGAGCGCTTGGTAAGCGGAGTGGGGAGAGGCAGAGGCGGTCCTCGCAGCCAATCGGCGCCTGAGGTGTTCCGACGGGCGCGTCGTGATTGGCTGGCGATGACCTCATGCTGCAGCAGCGGGTGGGGCCAGAGCCGTCGGGGGAGGCTGTTGCAAAGGCAGTGAGGGAGAAGTGACGATGGCGATCGTTGCTGCCGCGGCCGATATGGAACCCAAGCAGTGGCGAAGAGAATCTCAAGGCTCTTCCCTGAGTATTTCCTCCTGTCCCTGCGCGAGGTGAGGGCCCCGGCTCGGCCTCTGCGAAACTTTGGGGCGCTGGCGCGGACGAGGAGAGACAATTCCTCCCCATGACTTTTGTAACTGCGTCAGGGCAAGATGGCGCTGGGTCTCCTTGGGGCGCGGGGGGAGAGGCACGTCCACCGCCGCCGCAGCGCATGTGACCGGGCTGCATTCCTGTGGGGTTTGGCTCCGACCCAGGCTGGGGCGGGGGAGGGGAAAGGGCTTGGGCGGAGGAGACTGTGGTGCGGTCGGCGTTGGCGGCCTGAAGAGGAAGAGATGACTGTTGGCGAGCGCTTCCCCTCCCCCATGCAGCTCGCAGCTGCGGCTCCCGGGGGAAAGCCCCTGGAGGGACGCTCCTGACGGGGTGTGACAGCTGTTGGTGGAGGAGAAGGTCTGGTGCCCTATTTTCTTATCTACCTTTCTCCTTGCGAAGTACTTACGTAAGGTGGCAGGTTCCTAGTGTGGGAGTCGCCATCAACTGTGAGCCCCTGAGGGCCGCTGGCCCGAGCGAAAGAGCGAGACCAGCTGGGCCACAACGTCAAGAAGTATCGGTTATTTTCCGGGAAAACGTAAAGTTGCTCGGATACCGGTAGACAAATGCTTACTAAATTTGGAAGCAAGTGTAAAAGGTGTAAATAACACCCAGGAACACTTAAAAATTCCTGAGAGTTAGAAGAAACCAAGGAATATGCCTTCGGAGTTGTGAGGACCCTTTTTCTTTTCAGGCTTTCTGTTCTTCCGTCTGTACTTCTCATATCCTCCCCATCTGTATATCCTACAAGAATGTGTAATCTTAGTGGATATGCTTTTCTTTTTTATTTGGGCGTGGTTAGTAATAACAGAATAAAAGCTGTTAGTGTTGTAATCTGTTTGAAGTTCTAAGGATGTTTTCAATATTTTTGTTTCTCTGTCGCCCTCTTAACTATGGTTTTTAAAAATAAAAGACGAAATGCTCACGCTCGGTAAATGTTATTCCTTAAGATTCCTGCACCATTATGAAGCCTATCTCTTTAAGTCACTTATGGAGAGGTATGAACTGGAGTTTTAATTTTTGGAATATTGCTAGTTGCAGGTCTTTAGTTCAGAAGTTTTTAAGTAGACTATATCGGTAGGTTTATTAAGAAAGTACTGGTTTTGTTTTTGGTTATTCCCAGTTGGCCAAACAAGCATAGTAGCCATTCTGATGAAAATTTAATAGGCTTCTCCCCTTGGGTGGTGTTGAGAGCAGGGAGTTACACACAACAAAGACATTTGCACCGAAACCTGGCTTGCTTTTTGACAGAACACATCTTGTGCTAGGAGGAAATGTTTGCTGGACCTGAAAAGATGGGTTGAACTTGGGTCAGGGTTATGTTATTTCCTTTAGTGTCAGTTGTAGACTTGAGAGTTTGAAAACACAATTTTTTAATTCACTTGTTTATATTTAAACCTTTGCTAGTTTTTGTGTCTTTTTTAGTGCAGTAATATGAATGAACTGAAAAGGCTGTAATTAAACTGTAAATGTGAAATAGTACAAAGATTTTAGAGTTCAAAGTTTGTGTTTGTCCAATGTGAATATAAACTGGGCATTTTGTCTATAAGAACTCTTGAATAACTCCAAGGATGTAGAAGTTGTGTCTCCTGTACTCTCATAGCAACTTTTTTTTTTTTTAAGATTTTATTTTTTTATTCGTGAGAGTCACACACACACAGAGAGGCCTAGGAAAAGGGAGAAGCAGGCTTCTCACAGGGAGCCAGATATGGGACTCAGTCCTGGACTTTGGAATCACTCCCTGAGTTGAAGGCAGATGCTCAACCACTGAGCCACCACGGAGTCCCTAAAGTCAGATTTTTAAGGTGATTTTCAGTTACCTTAGCTTCACTTTGCCTTAATAAGAAAGAGAAGCCATTTTTCAAGCTAATAGCCTTGTTTTTTGTCATTTTCATCAGCATGCCCTCATTATGCCTAATTCCCAAATCTTGAACTCTAGTTTTTCTTTGGCCACGCTCCTGTTGTATTTTAAATGCTACTTGCAATTAATTCTTTATTGACTACCTTCTTGTGTTGTATGTTCTCTCTGGGCAATTTCATTTGTACTTCTTACTGCCCAATAAACTCTAAATTTTCATCCTAGCTGTAAATGCAGTGTTAAGGTACACAGGGGGGCCCACAGGCTTCCCGTACTGCCATAAAATTCTGAGTTTGGTACTAGATTCCAAAGAATTTTGTTCACCCATTCCCTCAGGTTTCTTCTGCTTCTCATGTTTCATTATTTGAGTAAACCATACCCGAGCCTTTTTTTTTCTTTTTCTTTCTTTTTTTTTTTTTTTCAAATCATCATCTCTTGTACAGTTGGAAGTTTTACAACTGGCTTTAGGTGGCAGACATCCCCTAATAGAATGCATACTGAGTGCTGTTTCATACTTGTGCGTCTTTGTCCACACCACCTGAAGTACTTCTACTCCTGGATAACTTGAGACTTTGCCTCCTGAAACTCTTCAAATCCTTACTCCCAGGTCATATGAGCCATTCTTTATATTAATGACAGCCCAGTGCCTGACCCTTGGTTAGCATCCAGGTGTACCAAGTTTTTTGGTTTCTTTGAGGTAGATAACACTCTACTAATAAACTGTGCAGTGCAAACTGGTAAAACCTAGCTTTCACACTTTTGACCACCAGGGTTTGAAGAGGAAATGAAGGATTAGGGAGGCTCACAGGCAAGGTTTCTTCCCCTTTGATTTATAAGAGAGGGGATGGGGATATTTCTGCCTCCAGAAAGGTAGGAAGGAAAAAACTGGCCTTATTTTTTAAAATCCATACTTCTCAAATCTAAAGAATATTTATCTACAAACCTGTATAAACACCAGCAATTATTTGGGTTCCTAATTCCTTGATGAGTTTGGGGCTTCTCAAGGTATATTTACTATTGCTTGCTCGTACTAGAGGACCCAATTTGCTGTGCCCTTGAGTTTGGTTTTTATCTTTTTTTTTTTTTTAACTGTCCTTTATAAGTGCCGTGTGCCAGCCTCTGGTAGCTACGTATGTTTTATATATCATGAAGTTGGCACTCCTGTAATAGGGCTTATTAAAATTGCATGTAAAATGAAGTTCCTCAATAAGAATTCTAAGAGTCAGATTTGAGCTTTAAAACAAACATTGGTGATCCTTTTTTTTTTTTTTTGTCTTACTGTGAAAAGCTTTTTAGGGTATTTTTGAATAGTGATTATCTTTCAAAGCTCAAGTTCAAAAGAAAATACTTGAAACTACATGGGGGGATCCCTGGGTGGCGCAGCGGTTTGGCGCCTGCCTTTGGCCCAGGGCGCGATCCTGGAGACCCGGGATCGAATCCCATATCGGGCTCCCGGTGCATGGAGCCTGCTTCTTCCTCTGCCTCTCTCTCTCTCTATCATAAATAAATAAATTTAAAAAAAAAAAAATTTGAAACTACATGGGACTTTCACTGGGTTTTATTTTTATATGGTTTTTCTTCTGCCTCACCCCCACTTTAATGATCTAAGTGTAGAACAAAAAGATGTCGAAAATTGAACTTAAACTATTAAATATACCTTAAAATGTTATGGTTAAAGAGACACCACCTGATTGATCTGATATTCCTGAAAAGTGAATTTAGTGTTACCTTTTTCTTGCTTGGCAAGGTGTTATTTCCGTTGTTAACACTAAATTTGAAATTCGTTTTTGCAAATAGTACTCAAACTTGCC